GAAAAAAGAAAAAGGGCTCGAATGAAGAAGCTAATGCAGTTCAAACAACAGCTGTTGCGCTCAAACACACTCTCTTTGTCACATCTTTGCTCGGATCTATGGGCTGCAGCTGCAGAAAATGGTCAGTGCAAGGGGAAAAAGGGTGAAGAACATGCAATTTTCTGAGTGCGATTTTCGCGACTTTTCCATCCTAGGAAACGACTTCGAAGTGAAGTCTTTCTTTCCCAAAGAGGAAAAGAAAACATGTGGCTGAGAAATAGAGATCCTGTCCTGTATCCTCAGGAAGCGAGTCCCTGTCCTGTAGATGACCCAGATCCTGGGGGACCCCTTCTCCCCAAAGGGGTGAGGGGCATGCCGTTGTCAGGCAACGAGGCTGGGGTTGGGGAGACAGAGCTTGCTCGTAGCGCGTGAGGACAAGATGTGCCTTCAAAAGAAAACTATAATTACACAGAGACCGAGAAGCATTTGCAGAAAATCACTATCTCAACTGAATCCACATCCTGTTAATCAAAGAGGTCGAGGCCCTTTTGATTATCAGACTAAATATTTTTAGGCAATATCCCTGAATGCCTGGAAAGAACATGAGCGGCATCAGTGGAAGGAGAAAAAAATCCATTTTCAGATAAAAAGGCAAGTCGGGCGCATCACAGGGAGAAAATCAGCCAGAGAAAATTCATCAAAGGAAGTGGCCCCCCAAAACTACCCATGCCTGTGCTGTCTCTATCACAACAGCCCTTACCCTGATCCTGCTCCACTCCCTTTCTTCCAAACACCCAGACAGTGGCTTAGACTTCTGAGTCTCTTCGCATTTATTTGATCAAAGCCCGAGAGAAAGCCCCGAAAAGTGATTGAGGATGAGGAGAGAGAAATTGATGGAGATGATTACTGTCGTAAAGCAATGTCGAGTGGCTCACCACGTAGAGATGAAAATGACATTGAACTCGAGGCTCTTGAAGTCCCAGTCAAGGCTGGTAAAAGTCAGCCTGAAATTGTCCTGATGTGCTCCTTCTTGATGTGTGACAAATAAACGCATCTCTCCCCGCCCCCAATCTCAAACACCCCCCATTACAATTTTTGGCAATGGCAAATCTTCTTAGTACACAGTACTGTCTGGAAAAGTGTTTGCTATGTCATGAATGCATTCTATTTCCAGAACTAAGAGCCGGTCTAACTTTTCCAGTGATCAGAGAAGATTGCTTCTTCATAATTCTCTTATTGATCAAAGTGGGCTCTGGTGACTGCTTAACTTCTGAATACCCAATAACCAATCCGCAGTCCCTCTCTCTCCAAGAACTCCCAAATTACTCCTTCTTTCAAACAGACGCACGTCCCCTATGTCTGTCCTACACAAATAACTCCTGCAAATCAATAAAAATATACAGCACTCTGAGGAGACCTGTGATTACCACCAATGACTGAATTTATTATAGAAATAAAACACATTAATAAAAGTCTAGGAAATGGTACACACCACACAGTTTCTAGATGTTCCCTAGAGTTCTAGGGAAGATGATGAGGCTCAACCTAATATGAAGTGAACGTCAGTAGTACTTTCTGCAAGAATTCTGTGTTTGAAGCACAACATCTGGACCTCTGGACCTCTCTCTTGCTGCCCTTACAAGATTCCGCCCAGTAGAATAGTGCAAGACACATGTACTTTTGTGAGTACAAAGAGATTATTGATTTACGGAGACAAGAACGATAGACAAGATTACGAAGCTGTAGTCTAACCACCGAATAGAATGCCTCTCTATTAGAAAAGATAAAATCTTGCCTTTTGCAACAAATATGGATGGAACCAGAAGTGATTAGGCCAAGCGAAATAAGTCAGAAAGCGAAAGACAATTATGGGATGTCTTCCCTCAACTCTAAGTGCTGGAACCATCCAGAGTGGAGGCCAGGGCCTCAGAGGCAATGAGGGGGCGCACCTTATCTTTGTTCACCTAAAGGAAGGAGATTCTCAGGGAGGCAATGAGGGATCCATTTCTCTAACCAGGGTGGTCAGTCAAACACAGTGGGGAACCTCCAACCTGGGGTTCAGTTGGATAGCACTGGGAACTGTTTGGGCGGGTGTGATAGTCTGCCAACCTGCAGGTTAAAGGTAAAGGTAAAGGCCCTCCCGTTGATCGTCGATTTGCTCGAGCGGGCCCAGTAACGTCTCCATTGGAGACCTTGTTGTTACTGTGTCTGGCATATCGAATACTCTCGGTAGCTTGCCGGGCTCTCCGAGAGGGGCGGAGGAATCGAACTCGGGTCGGCCATGTTGGCTGCTTGTAAGGCGAACGCCCTACCTGCTGTGCTATCGCTCCAGCCAGGTTAAGAAATATAATCCAGACACTTACACCCCAGACGTTATTGTATTGTAAACCGGTGCTCAAGCAATACGACTTGAGTCGGAAAAACTACAGCACGCAAGCTCAGAAAGAAAAAGGGCAAGAATCGGAAATGCACCAAGTCGGCTCGTCAGAATCCCACATCTCTGAGTACAACGGCAAAGAAAATGTCACACATTTGCCCTGCCCTGGCGCCTGATGGCATGATGAAATGGAGGGTATTCCAGTGAGTTTGAACTTCTGGGTGCATGCTGATTTGAAACTCGCCCTAAAGATCAGAGCTTTATATGGGAAACTTGCTCCTAGTTTCCTGTAATAACCAGTGGCCTGACATCAGGCACATTCACTCACCCACAATGTCTGGAACCCACAGACAGCCAAGCTCGAGTAATGTGACCAGGACTTCTGGAAGAACATGGACTTGTTTCTGCTCAAGTCAGAACTGGAGTCAGCAATGGCCCAACTGCACCTTCCCCAATCTTTCGGGAATGTGACATCTGGCCAGAAAGCTTTTTTTTTTTTGCTTTTTTTTTTGACGGGGGGTCACACCCAGGGGTGAACAGGGGTTACTCCTGCTTCATGCACTCAGGAATTACTCCTGGCCGTGCTTGGAGGACAATATGGGATTCTGGGAATAGAACCCGGGCCGGCCGTGTGCAAGGCAAATGCCCTACCCACTGTGCTATCACTCCAGCCCCTGACCAGGAAGCTTTTCATTGCTGGGGTATTTTGTCTCTGAAATGTGGCTCTTCCTCAAATCAATTTATGGTTTTGTTCATAAAGAAATAAAGCCCAGGGGCTGGAGCAATAGCACAGCTGGTAGGGTGTTTGCTTTGCAAGTGGCTGACCCATGTTCGATTCCCAGCATCCCATATGGTCCCCTGAGCACCACCACGGGTGATTCCTGAGTGTAGAGCCAGGAGGAACCCCTGTGCATCGCCGGGTGTGACCCAAAAAGCAATAAATAAATAAATAAAGCCCAATTATTAAAGACAAAGCAACCCCAAAACATTCCCTCTCGTAGACCATGTTTAAATTGTGGGAACACGGACTTCACTGAAACGTGCTGTGACCTGTCAGAGGTTGTTGTGAGAAAGGATCACCTACAGAATCAGAGGATTCATGTGACCAATGCCACAATCCAAAGGTTCCTTCCTCTTGTCCCTCAAGCGTTCAAGTTTGCAACTCAACAGTATAAACTGTGACTCAGCAAATAAAGCACCAATACAGTGTAGGGTGGAATTTCAACCCAGTGGATAAAACATGCAATGCTACAACTGTTTCTTTTCTTCTTTCACATCCTCCAGTCACAACTAAAAGCTTCCTTTAAACCGCCTGGGTTTTGTTCTCTTAAAATCAGCCCTCTGCATTACTTTCCTGTGGGGGATACTTGGAAACGTAATTGCTGGGGAGAACCACAGTTGTACACTATTGTCAAAAACTAAACAATGTTGTTTTTCCCCACTGCCATTAGTCAGGGTATCGGCTCCATAGTGTGTGTTGTGTACACAAACCTTGGAAGAGACAGGAAATCTTTGGGAGCTTTACCAAGATCCCCGTTTGCTCTATCAGCTGTAGAATACCTATTGAAATACAACAGTGAATTCAGCTATCTTCCCCCCTGGCAGAACAATAGAACAGAATTTCCGTTGAATCACAAATACATCCCTACCAACATAACCACAACTCAACACCCCCACACAAAAGCACACTCACACACACAGACACACACAGTTGAATCACACAAACACACCCCTACCAACATAACCACAACTTAACACCCCCACATAAAAGCATACTCACACACACAGAGACAAACACACACACACACACACACACACACACACACATACACACATTCATGCACAGAATCGTTTCTGAGCAATTTTTATGAAACCATAGTTCTATGCACAATACATTTAATTCACTTGAGCTCAACTCTATTTACTGAAAACAGGATGGGACTTGAAAGTCACAACTGGTTTGCGTCGCAGAGGTCTACATCTGTCAACAGAACCAACAACATGGGGCACTGGCTAACAGATGAACTGCACTGCACTGCACTGCCCTCCCATTGTTCCTCGATTTGCTTGAGCGGGCCCAGTAACATCTTCATTTGAGACTTGTTACTGTGTTTGGCATATCGAATACATCACAGGTAGCTTGCCAGGCTTTGCCTTGCAGGCGAGATACTCTCGGTAGCTTGCCTGGCTCTCCGAGAGGGGTGGAGGAATCAAACCCAGGTCAGCCGGGCTGGCTGCACACAAGGCAAAAGCCCTACCACTGTGCTATCACTCCAGCCCACAGATGAACTCCCTAAACTAAATCATTAAGCCAGCCATTGGTTCTTTGAATACCCCACTTTGCTGATCTGACCGATGAACCATCAGTCAATAAGGTAAAATGAATGGACCAATGGCCCGTTCATTCACAGAAAACCCAACTGTGAGAAACTAACCAAGTGAATGGCTTGTTAACAGAGAAACAGCCAAGTGAAATCCATCCAGACTAACCTCGACCTCCTCCAGGAGGAATCGGAGGAAACTCGAACCAGCCACAAGAAGTTCAGCATGCACCCGAGTGAGCACACCCCATGAACGCCACAAGTATGAATGTCGCCTGGATTCGTCCTGCAGGACTAGGAATGGATCATGCCAGTGTACTTACGGAGGTTATTTATGGGGGCTCTGGTGTCCGTGTTCTCATAGTGCTGGACGTGGACCACAATGTTGAGATCCCTCTCCATGTGCTCTGTGTTGCAGTGACCTTGTGGCCTCATGACATCCGCAAGGGCCCTGGAAGAATAAAGGATATAAGTCTGTTCATTCCAAATGCAACCATTCATCCCTCTCTGTGCTCTGAGCTGGTGGACATGAGACAAGGTCGCTTTCTCCATGGAGCTGCTAGGCTAGCTGAGGGCCTGGGAGGGAATACAGAGAAAGAAGTGAGCGAGGAGTAAAATCACAACACTTAGGTCATGTCTAACAGTGTTTTTCAGGCTTCCGACACCTGCAGATCAGCACCTGTCCAGCACACTGGCCCACAAACTGGCAGTGATCATCAAGGGGGTAGACCAGTTGTCCCTGACCTTTCTGCATTAGCCTACTCACACTGGGCTACAGACCTGTGGTTGAAGAACACCAGTGTAAAGGCTCTGTGCCTAGCAGGTCACAAGTCTCTCACAACTGCCGTGGGACAGCAATATTTCGCACCGCAGCAAGTCATCCAGAGGACAAGAGGATGAAAATATAGCCTGTGTCCAACATTTCATAAGACTGAGTCTAACACTCACGTGATGAAGTACTTACACTTAGCCAGCTCAGTGCTAACCACGATGCATGCCTTCATTCAACTAAGCAACCTCGAGATCCCATCTGCATAGTCTTTTTGCCTTCTTCGTACATGAACAAACAAAGCTTCTGAGAGGTGAATTCACCAGCTCACGGGTACACAGTAAGCTGAAGCATGAGGATTTGATCCTCTTTGTCCTCTGCATCTGCCCACTGGAGATTGGGTTTCCTGTAGCTAACCCAAAGGGATTAGTTTGGGGTACGAAGGGAGGGTGCAGGAATCCATCCAGCTCATGCTGATGCCCAGGATCTCTGCACCAAGGGGAAGAGTGGAGGGGGGCAGGTGTCCGTCTGCTTCAGATCTTTCCTATTTATCCTACTGCTGAATCACCCTGACATTCAGCCCATGGCCCGTATTCTTCTCTCTATTCTTTTTCTCTTAAACAGAAAAGTGGTTGCCCTAATGAATGAGGTGACCAGAGACAGTAGCAATTGATTATCCCACAGCTCCAGAGGTGGAAGTTTGCTGCCAAGAAGGAGCAGACTCGGAAAGCTCCAGGATCTCCTGCCTTGCATCTGCTTAGCGCATGGCTGAATGTTCCGGACATGCGCTGCTTGGTGAGTCCCCAGCCTGTCCCTGACTCTGACTTCTCTTCTACATCTTCTTAGAAGGCCACCAGTTGTAGTGGATTATGGCCTTCCCACCTCAGTTTGGTCTGACCTGCTCTTAACTCACTATATCCACAGAAAGCCTGGTTCCAAAGAAGGTCGAGGGACCAGGAGTCAGAATATCAATAAATCTTTGTGGAGAAAAGACACCTCAGAGGACAAATGGTAATTATAGACTCAACTGCCATCTGTTGAATGGGAATCATTAACATCACTTGCCACCGCTGTATAATATTCCACTCTAGCCAGGCCTACTTCACTCACCTGCAGGGGTGAACATCTCCACAGGCAGCTACCCAGAATCAGCACCCTGGCAGTCAACACCTAGCACCCTGCACATCTGCTTCCCCAGTGAAGTGATCCTAGATGCTCCCCAGGTCCTGCCTCTGGAAGTCATACGTGATGCACTATCTCTGCCGGGCCTCCTCTTGGACCAGGGGGAGCTTCTCCAGGAAATGCAGCCACAAGCCAGGCAGCCAGGTTTCGTGCTCTCGCCAGATGCTCTGAGCCAACCTGCACCCTCAGACATCACACCAGGAGAGACAGAAGGAAGGTGGGCTGTCAGTGAGGAGCCCACACATTGTACCTAAACACCCAGCATCACCCCTCACCCTGTCTTCTGAAATGTACCCCAGGAGATGATGACAGTCATGTCCACGAGGCTCAAACAAGGGCAAGTTGTCTAAATGTGGATTTTCAGACCCATCTTGACTTAGGAATCCAGCCATTTGCCAGCTCCTGGGACGTGGCCCCCCACAATCTATCTTTCACAGCACACAGCCCACCCTCCTCCATCCAAGGCTGCTACTCAATGAGGTAGAGACTCTATGAAGGGCAGTGAGAGAGTCTAAGAGAGGTTTGAGAGAGGGACTGAGATTAAGGGGTCCTGGGACAAGAACCCCAGTGGGGAGAAGCACCCAAGAAGCACACGTGAACCCCAGCTGATAGAGACAAAGACTGAGACTGTTGAGAGAGAGGATGTAACAATCGCTCATTCATTCATTCACTCAACATGTTACTGAGGCCCAAGAGACAGCACAGTGAGGAGGGCATTTGCCTTGCATGCATCCAGCCTGGGTTCAATCCCCGGAATCCCCCATGGTCCCCAGCGTACCACAAGCAGTGATTCCCTGAGCACAGAGCCAGGAGTAAGCCCTGAGCTGTATATGGCACAAAAATGAAAGCCAACCAACCCCCCACCCCCCAAAAAACCCAAATATCCATTGCCTGCTACATGCCAGATTCTATCCCAGGACAAAGTACGTGGGCCCTGCCTTCCAACAGCTCATAATCCAGGAGAGACAGTTTTTTTTTAAACGAGCCATGGCCCATGAATCCATCGGGGCTGCACCAACAAAAGGCGAGTGTGCTCAGGAGCAGTGCTCCTCACCAACTTGCTTGGTAATGGGTACACAAAAAAACAGTTCTTTGGGGTGGAAGGTGATTCAGGCAAAGAGAAGAAATCAAGTCAGTGTCCTAGATGTCATGGCGTGGATAAAAGTCGAAAACATCATGCTAAGGAAAAGAAGGCACAGGCGGATGGTTCCATGGAAGGAACTGTTGAGAGTCGGCAAGGCAACAAGACAGAAACAGGGTCAATAGTACTCGGGGGCTAGGAGTGCTTTTGGGGGTGATGGGTGAGTGCTAGGGGGTGAGATGTTCTCTACAGGATAATCAAAGTGTTCTCGAAAAAGTGGGACAGTAATTTGACTTTGTGAATACGCCAAAAATACTGACTTGATTTTTTTTCTTTCTTTGGCTTTTGGGGCCACCCCTAGCAGTGTTCAGGGCTTGCTCCTGGCTCTGTGCTCAGGGATCACTCCTGGCAGGACTCGGGAGACCATATGGGATGCTGGAGAATCAATCCCAGATTGGTCACAGGCAAGGCAACCACTCTCTGTATTATCTCTCCAGCCTTGCATATTCTTTTTCATTCTAAGGGAAGGGCAGGATAACTAGGGGTCCATCAGGAAAACCTTCCTCTGCAGTTGGAACATGAGTTGAACCCTGAGTGGAGAAGAGCAGCTGTCACAAAAAAAAAAATGCTTAACAGAATGGCTGGAGTGATAGTATAATGGATAGGTGTCTGCCTTGCACGCGGCCAACCTGGGTTTGATTCCCTGACATCCCATGTGGCCTCCTGAGCACTAACAGGAATAACACCTGAGTACAGAGCCAGGAGTAACCCCTGAGCACCACTAGGTGGACACACACACACACACACACAAAACACACACATATACACACACACACAAAGACGCTAAAAAGAGGCCAGAGAGATAGTATAAAGGTAAGGCACCTGCCTTAAAAGCAGCTGACCCTGGTTTGACTCTCCAGCACTGCACAGTCCCCTGAGCACTGCCAGAGCACTGAGCCAGGAATAAGTCCTAAGCACCACCAGATGTGGCCCCAAAAAGAGCAACCCCCCCCCAAATAAAATGCTACTAAAAAAATCATTCTGGGCCAGTGCAAAAGCTGTGAGCCAAAGGTTGAGCTGTTCCAGACTAAGAAAGCCAATGGGCTCTCGGGTCGTGACTAGCAGAGGAACATCCCAAGGCAGCCAGCAGCGAGCAGACCCTTTGATAGAGGGGAGGAAGTCCTCACATTAACCCAGCGGGCTCCACAGAGATGGGGCTCAGAAGCAGTGTCTCTGAGCAGGGCTCTGCCTCTCGGGAAGGCAAGTGATGACCCGAAGCCCCAAGGGGTTGCGGAAGGCCTGCTGGAGGCAGAGACACCTCCTTTGCCACCTAACCCCCAAACAGGCCCGGTTCTGCATGCTGAGACTCAGGGTCTCTCCGCGCACACATGCCCAAAGCTGACTGGGAACTTTGCAACATGCTCAACGAGGCATAGCTTCCCGCAGAGATTTGAGGAGTCCTCCCCAAATCTTGAACTATTCAGACATCCCTGAGTAACCGGGATGGCGCTGGAAAACTCAACCAGTACCACCCATCCCCACAGGGCCCTGGATGGTTCCTGAAGCCCAGACTCCAGGAGAGTCATCTAAGAAAACAAAACATCTGGTTCAGAGGCCAGAGCAATAGTACAGCGGGTAGGGCGTTTGCCTTGCACGCGGCCAACCCGGGTTCAATCCCCAGCATCCCAGAGGGTCCCCCAAGCACAACCAGGAGTAATTCCTGAGTGCAGAGCCAAGAGTAACCCCTGAGCATCACTGGGTGTGGCCCCCTCCACAAAAAAAAAGTTCACTTCCTCCAAGGTAGCCCATCCCAGAACACACAGAGAGGAGGTTTCTTCAATATCCTACACCCCTTGAGGTTGATGGGGGAGGAGGGAGGACTGGAGAGTTCCAGTATATGGTCTGTAGTCTATCAAAGTGACAAATGGTGGGGCGCACCAGGAAGGACCTGGGGGTGTGGTTAGCTTTCTGGAATCGTGTTTTCTTATTCTTTTGACAATTCCCTTAGCAGGAAATCCAGGCCATCCAGTATTTGCGCATCAAATTTGGGGGTCTCGCCATACAGTTCTTGATGGTGGCTTCCCCAGTTAACATTCCCACCAGAGTCCAAGGTTTCCTTATGCTCTGCATCCTTGCCATTACTTATTTCTTTTCTTTGTGATAATCATCACTAAATAACTAAGTCAACCCTTAGACTACAGGAGCAAAGAACTGGTCCCCAGAAGGGAAAGAATGGGGGAAGGGGTCAAGTGTATGATTACGGATGGAAATGGTGACAAGCAGAGTGGACCATACACAGACACGCATATCGATGTCCATGCACTTGCAGTCTATAGAACAATAGCGACAAATCAAGATGTTTTTAAACTGGAAAATTGATTTGAAAATGTGCATTGAGGGATTGGTGTGCTGGGACAGC